AACAGACTAAGAGGAGCAGGGTTGAGTAATGACCTTGTAATCTGCCTCCCTGCTTATATTTTCATCGTGTTATCAACTCTTTTATGTATTTTTATCTTCCAACCGATGCGGTGAATGTAGTGACACCCAACTCTGGTCCCACCCGCTACCTGTGTCTTTGTTGAAGCATGGCACCGGCTGAATTCAGGTGCTGAGAAGAGGGTAAGTGTTGGATCATTACTGTCATTTCTACACGATGATATCATTGTGTTTCCTTCACAGAGAGCAGATCCTTTATCAAACACATGATCTGCTCAAGCCTGCAAGTCAGAGGACGTCTCAGTTATCAGCTCTGAAAAGGCAGAGTTCATTTATCATCTGCCTCTTAGGAGAGAGACGGACTCTGGCTTTTCATCACGATATGTACACAACATGTCTGCCTGTGCCACGATATCTGAGATCAAACTTTAGCTCAGATTGTAGAAGTTTAAAAAACTTGTTTCTCGCTCGCATGAGGAGACATTTGACAGAACTAGCCTCAAAATAGATATATATTACAGATTACAAAAGATTGTAAAGAGCATCCTTCCAGTTTGTTTCTATTTTTAAAACACAAAATGCTTTCAATAACTCAACCAAAACCTGCAAAAAAAATAACCTTACTTTATTCAAATGACAATCAGAAGTAAACAAAAAGAGCAGAAAAAGTAACCAACCAATAGACAACTATTCAATAAATCAAAGTCATACAGGAAATAAAATAACGGGGGAAATAATAATAGAAAAAAAAGAGAAAAAGACGTCTGGATATGGGCAATCGTGGTTTGTATTAATTTCATTGAACATATAGGTCTTTATGAAACATCTTGGGGGAACTGCACTCTAAGAAATATGTTGAATTTAAGATAAGATAAAATAAGGCATGATAGACCTTTAGAGAGACCTTTTATTAAGTAAGCAAAAGACCTCTTGAAGCCACCTTTGAAGTAGGGCTGCTCAATCAATCGTATTTTAATCGCAATTACGATTTTGGCTTGCAACGATTATGAAAACAACATAACCGAAATAAAACTATTATTTTTTTTATTTTTTTTTATTTTACATTTTTTTTTTTGTATTGGTTTTTCAATTGAATTATACTTAAAGTTCAGGGTATTCAACTGTTAAAAACATACTACACGTTTTTTTTTTCAATAAATTGATGTTTTCAAAGTAAATGGATAATCGTTTTTAATAATCGTGATATCAATTATTGACCCAAATAATCGAGATTATGATTTTTGCCATAATCGAGCAGCCCTACTTTGAAGTGGAAAAGTTCTAATTATTTGAAAATCTTTAAATGGATTATTGCTCATCCATTAACTGGGAATGAAAGGTAATAGATTTTCTATATTTTAATGGATGATTATAATTTTTTAAACCTACGCTGGCTGATTTGTTTTGTCTTTTGTCATTGAAAGAATATCACCTGCCCTGTAGAGAGCCTCTTGTTTTGTTATTGCTCCCCCATTGCTTCGCTCCTGTCTGCATCTAAAATCTGTTACAAAAGCTTCTCAGTTTGAAGTATTATTCATTACAGCCCACTGAAAATACCATCCATCCGTGTGCCCTCTGACGAGAGAAAGACTTTACAGTTTTCTGTCCCCGTGCCTTTTTTTCAGAATCTCTGCTTTTACTGGCAGGTCTCCTCACCAGAGCAGCGGACTATAAATATGACCCCTCTGAATGCCCACATCCTCGCCCCTAAAATAAATCATGGGCCTTTCAGCGGGGGCAGACACACAGCCCCTAGCAGGACTGTCCTGTGTGTACACACGCTGCAAACGAGACTGTCGGATCACAATCTATCAACACACACACACACTTAGGGACACCCACAGACAGAGGTGGGAAGGAGTGGAGTACAAATATTTCGTTACTGTACTTAAGTATATTTTTCTGGTATCAGTACTTTACTCCACTACTTCTTTTTCTGATGACTTTTTACTTTTACTTCTTACATTATGAACACAAATACCTGTACTTTCTACTTCTTACATTTTCAAAACAGGCTGGTTACTTTAGTTTGAATGTGTGTTTGGTGGCGTGATCATTATTATTTAGATTCATTGCCTATTGATTTGAACCCGATCCGTGTATCCATCATTTCCTGCTCTTCTCTAAAGAAGAGGGACCAATGAAAACGTTGTCATGTTGCCGTTGTTCAGCATGGAAACATTCATTAGCTAACAAAGACATTATTGTTCTATTAATATAAAGGGAGGTCAGGTACTCTTTAAAACAGTTGGTAGTTATGGGTACTTTTTACTGAAGTACATTTCAAAGCCCATACTTCTTTACTTTTACTTGAGTAAAGAAGTTTAGTCAGTACTTCTACTTTTACCAGAGTATTTTTAAACACAAGTATCTGGACCTCTACTTGACTAAAGGATGTGTGTACTTTTGCCATCTCTGCCCACAGACAACTGAGGAGAGCGATCCGTTACAGTACCATGGGAGCGGAGGTTAGCTGGGATGCCAGCGCCCCCCCCTCGCCTGTCACTCCTCCCAGAGAATAGGAGCCAGTGTGGGGACCAGGGGGACTGGAGCTCATCAGAGGGGTTGACTCAGTCCTGGCTACTCCCTCGGCACTGTGGGTCTGGCACTCGGCACAGGTGGAAAACGGAAGAGGGTGAGTGGGTAATCATGAGGGTGTTGGCCCCGTTCTGCCCACACAAAAAAGCACAACCCACAACTATGGGCCCTCTTACCAGCCTGTCGTGTGTGGTTTCTTGAGACTGTCATCACAGGCGCTCAGCAAATGAGAAACACAGACGCGGAGGAAGAGGAAAGAGAAACACAGAAAAGCAGGATGTGTGCCCGCTGAATAAAGTCAACACAGGCTGGAAGCTGGGAGAAGAGGCAAAGAGCTTCACAGGGAGGAAGTGTTTGGGTTTCACGGTGGACCCAAACTTATTCTGAGATTACAAAGTAGCGAGCAAATGTAATGTGTCAGTGTGGTCGACTAAATATGAACAAATACTGTTTGTCTGTTTACTTCTGCATCTTCGCTGGTATGTGTACCCAAACGGAGAGTGAGCAAACACCCAAACCGACTAACACACAAACCGACTGGAGGAAACAGCTAGACAAATTCATTTGGACGCAAATCGGCCTTGACTTTTGTCAATCTGTCAAAAAAGCCTCACCCTTCCCAGGCATTATCCGTGATATTCTTTCCTTCCGTCTTTTGAGGAACGTCAGTGTGATGAGCGTCTAAGCTGGAAACGGGCTGCAGTTGTTTTCTTTGCAAAAACACCTGTCTAAACAGCAGCAAAGCCAAGGGCAAGTCTCGGCTGTCAGCGTCGTTGACAGCTCTTGACAAAAATTCAGCAGAGACAATTCCTAAGACGTCCACTCAAGCGAAACAATGCACATGTGCTGGAGTGACCCCAGCTGGGCTCTCTTCTTTAAGTCTCTGTGTTGTTTGTAGGAGCTCTGCAACACACATTTGAAAAACACCTGGAAGAAGGTCAAATGCAAGACATTCCCGGAAAGAAAGTCTTTGTTTTGTTTGTGTCCTTGGTTTCGAATGCACTTAATCCTTCTTAATAAAGCAGTGGCTTCAATGACATTGACTCAGCAAAAAGAAACAAAACTCTTACAGTTGTGTGACAGCAACAAAAGGCCAGACTATTTAGGTGATTAATTAATACAGTTTACAACCATTTATAAAGCCGTTTGTATCACCTGTCCAGAGTGGATTTAGGCGCTGTTTCAGAGAAGATTTACTGAACAAAGACCAGGTGGCTCATTAGCTACCAGAGACTTAGCTGGGTCTGTATAGAAGGGGATCTCTGGGGTGGTCAAGTTTCAGTCCTTATGCTTCAATTTCAACACATGGATCCTTAATCTGTAATGCCTTCATCAGCTATAGTCCAGTTCCCTTCACCTGCCGCTCACATGAGCACCTCCGGGCCTGTAGGAGTGGGTTTGTGTTAGCAGCGTGGAGTGAAAGATTGCATTGAAACCGAGGCTCCGATGTGGTAACAAGCTAAACAAAGGCTGAGTGATGAGAAGGCCTGCACACATTCATACTGTAGAGCTCGTATTTTAGTAAAACTACACTCAACTCACTTCATTTGCTAATTCAAGGTTTTTGCAGGGTTCAACAAATTACATTTTAATTCCACATAGAGTCATGTCAAGTTTATTTATATAGCACATTTTATCTGACAGCCATGTGCTTGAAAAAGACACAGAGATCATACATAAGACTAGTACTTTTTTAAGAGTAAGAATGAAAGTCTGAAAGAAAACTGGTTAGGAAGATGTGGCTGAGAATAATTTATTATTATTTCACATGTTTTTTCAGTACTTCCCAGCAGTATAGAACAATAATTCCCTGGTGATGAAACCTGAACTTGTATAAGTTGAAGACAATGGATGGATTCAAAAGGATTGTTTTCTTTAGGTTTATTTAAGTTCTTGCTTGAATCAAAACGTACCTATTATGAGACAATGAGGTTCCTAGAAGTGGTGGAATATAACTAAGAAGCTCAAGTACATTTGAGGAACTTTACTTGAGTATTTTAATTTCTGCTTTGTAGATACTATTACTTCCATACATCTCACACGATCATTTTCCTGCAGGATTTAGCTGAAAACAGTTACATAGTTCTACTTACAAAATACTTTTAATCGCAGTTCAGTATTTTTTCCCAGTGAAGTGACTTAGGTAAAGGATCTTTTTCCACAACTTGTTGTTCATTTCTGTGGCTAGCGGTCATTAAAATCTTTGCAGAAGGTCAGACTCCTTAAGAAGGATTCAACTGAACCCTGCACACATATACTTTTTATCTACAAGCTCTATAACGTCCCTGTCCAACAGACATCAATTGAATGAAGAAAAAAAAAAAATCACTGCTAATGGCAGGCAAAATAAATATCAGATGTTTTATTATTTATAAGAATAGCTTACTCTAAAAACAATATCACATCACAAATCATGTACCAACAAATTCACTGCAAAAACCTTGTTCTTGTTTTCCATGTAGCATTTTTATTTAGAAACACAACTGTGTCACTGTTTAAGGTAAACTAAACATTTACTTAAAACTGTACATTCTTAATTTTTTTTTTAAAGCGTACATTTTGTTTACATGATGAGAATTTACAGGATGATCACGTCTCATCAATGAAAGCAGCTTTACTTGTACAAATACATATTTGACACATATGGCGGATATTTCTGTAGGTGGACAACACATTAAATCATGCCAACATGTACTAGCATGTAGAAACTACTTTCACTTGTCAAACGCACAATTTCCCAACTGTCTACAACAATACACATACTGCCTAACAGGCTAATGAAATGTGGTCAAAATGGAGATCCTATGAAGCTTTTCATGCGTCATAATAACCATTTTAAATGCAAACTTCTGTTCTATAACGGACAGCTGAATAAGGCTATGCAGAGACTTCTAATGAGATGTGGTACGTTTCAGCTCAGCTTGACACCTGGGTTCTACAGGCTTCATACTAACACATAATCAAGTCTTATTTTTATATTTATTTAAGGTGAATCATAGAAATTAAATCATAGCTGCGCATAAACTTGAAAAAAAGAGGTCCCGTTTCCTTTTTGGTGAACCACCCAAGAAATCGTTCCTGCTAAATATCCGAACTGGAGGCCAAGGTCTTGAAAACCACACAGTCTGTTCTTTTTCTCACCCGTACAACTGACACACAGGAAAACAGAGAACACACTCTGAACACATTTCAGAGGAATACTGACTGAAGGCAAATTTTAAGTGTGACTTTGTGTGTGTGACTGCTGGAGGCGTCACTGCAACACACACATGGAGCTGCGGGGGGGGTTGACTGTCCTGGCAACGGTGTCCTGACTGTAGTTCACGATGTCCGCCTTCACCACGCGCTGGAGAGACACAGAGACAGATGTAGAATCAAAAGGATGCCACAAAAACACAAATAAAGAGTCAAATAATCACAGTGTTAAATCTCACACATGTTTACAGGGACAGTTCAACTCAAAAACCATTAACCTTGAGTGTTATTTATCAATCTACATTGTTTTGGGGGGAGTTACCGAGAGTTACCAAGTGTTTGGCGCTTTCACACTGGAGTACTTTTCCCAGTATAGTTCCGATAGTTCTTGGAATTTTGCGTTCACACCAAAAAAAATCCAGAACTAGAACTTAGTTCATGAGAACCTTTTCACCCCTTTTTAGTCCCTGCTAGAGAGCAGGTACTTTCCTGGGAGAAAAAGGTTCCCATTTCTGATTGGCTGGGCGAATTGCAAACCACGCCCCGTAAAACTCGGAAAAGTTTTGTGAAGCCGCCATTGTATTTGCTGGCATTAGCATTAGCATTAGCATTATTAGCATTAGCATTAGCCCAGCGCACCAACGGAGAGAGACTAACTTATGGCAACACAAAAAAAAACATGGGAGCGGTGGAGATGATGAGGAGGTGTCGGTGTAGAAGCTGCTGGGAGTCCCAGCAGCTTCTACTGAAGCCAGTCCCCAACTCCGGGGACTTCGGGTGGCAGTATACGCCGTGAAGTTGTTTGCGGCCTGCCAGTAAACCCAAAGCAGAAGAAGAAGAAGTTACGTCAGCGGTGTCACTACCCGATCTGCAGCTCTGCCCGATCTGCAGTGCGCATGTGCAAGATGGTCCGCCATATTGGACAACTCCGGACGGCAACCCAAGTAGGACACTTGACAGCTATCATGCTGAATAAATATTTACTGTGAATGTATGGAAAAATGTATGGCAACAGAAGTTAAATCCATTTCTCACTTATTCTGACAATTTACTTAACCCCAAATAAAAGAACCCAATAAAAAGAGTTGTTAAATAATAGTGAAGTCACGTTGTAATAACAATAACTCATCTCTCTCGAGTTTTCTTTTTGAGCTTGGCCAAAAGCCACTGTGTCAAGTGTCCTACTTGGGTTGCCGTCCGGAGTTGTCCAATATGGCGGACCATCTCGCACATGCGCACTGCAGATCGGGCAGAGCTGCAGATCGGGTAGTGACAAGCGGCTTCATTTGCCTAATCCTCCCTCTGGGACTTATTCAGGTACGGCAAAGTACTTGGTGTGAAAGCGCCTATAGAGACTTTACCTTTTTTCCAGTATAATTGAACTAGATGATGTAGTGTCTTTTTCCAGGAACAAAGACCCGGTTACTAAAGATAATCCACAGACCTTGTTGTGAGCACTTTAATGTGTGTGAAATGTTTTCTTTCTACCGAACCACACCCACGAGCACTATTAAGAAAATAGTACCATCTTGCTCCATTATATCTGAGAGAAGGCAGACATCTCGTACACTTGGTAATTCACACCAGGACAGTCTAAATTGCTGAAAAGCACTACAGGGAAAAGGATTAGATTTGCTGTTTATTACAGTGAGATAAAACCGGAAATTAAAAAGAAAATGTTATATTAATAAAGAAATGATTAAGAAATAGACAGATGGGAAACAAGACTTCCTTTACTTACGGGCTAAGGGTAATATGAGGAGAGTGAATTCCACTTGTGCGTCTATATCATGGATTTATAATAAGAACGGTCTGTATACGATTAATATGATCTAGTGGCCTTTGGCTGAAGCTTCAGACAAAAGAGAGTGGCATCTGTATTCCCATGTGACTAAAGGAAATAAATAAACCGCCCAAAACATTAAAATATGATTGTTTTGGTGTATATATATATATATATATATATATATATATATAGAGGGATCAACATCCACAGATATAACTGTGATTCATAAGACAGTTTAGCAATATACTTCCACAGTTAGGACAATGCAGGAGGTGTAATTATGGGGTGTCTCTTCTTATTTTAAAGCTCTAATCTAAACCACAGGAACAAAATACATCTATGTGGTAATTACTACAACGCAACTGTTCTCTGTTTCTAGCTCTAACAAAGGTCTGATGAAATATATCTGTGTGACTGTGGAGACATACTTCCAACTATTGAACAGAACATATTTTGCTTTGCTGGCTGTTCTCTTGTGTAATTGGGCCTTCATCCTGTGGGTACGCCACCAGCTCAGCCTTCACAATCATCTGAGCAGTTCAACACGCAGAGCGGTGGAGGGATGGAGGAAAGCAAAATGACAAGGACAAAGACATGAGAGACGATGATGACAGTGGGATAATGCAGACCAGAGCCAAGAGGGGGAGGACAATGAACAGGAGACGATGAGGGAAGGGTCATGGATTGAGAAAAAGTGAAAAAGAAATGGGAGAAACAGACAAAAAAGTGAAGCATAACATTAATGTGCACCAATAGAAAGTGAAGACAAGAATATTAAGACATATCTTCCATCTAATATCTAACAGAACATCTAACTTAAATTTGTCTATTTATCTACTGCCCATTTTCCAATCTTTTAATAGGATAATTGATTTGGCAAAGATAAAGGGAAAGTTATGCATTGTCTATATCCTGGATCATTAAAACAGTGGACTAGGGAAGTCTAAAGTGATCTAATGTAATGCTATATGTCTCTGGATGCTTAAGCCACTTCATACCTTTCTTATGACCAATGTGCAGTGAGTTGAACTATTTTATAAATATATTTACACCTAGCAAAGCATTTTGAAGCTATATGTGGCAGCAGTTGAATGTGAGGCAGGCTGCATGACCGTTAAGAGCAGAGCACACGGCTGAACGCAGGCCCTGGTTGGCTGTCTGATTAACGAGCTGCCGAAGCCTGGTGTCGGAGCCTTGAGTGATCCCGGCCTCGCTATCTGATCCACCGACAGAGGAGCATGACGGAGGGGCTGCTCGGCAGATACAATACTGTCGGGGTGCTGACCCTCGTGTTCAGCTCTCTGAAGCTGACAGCTGATAATGAGGCTTCGCTCGCCCCACAGCTACACCAAGAGCCTCAGATCTATATTTCCGAACGTCTTCAACTTTTAGGAATGTATTGTGTATGGACTGGAGAGTGCTTTTTTAGATGGAAAATGTACCAAACATGAACTGAAAGAAATGGATATATTTCTCTATTAGTCAATAAACAAAATTGGGGTCTGCAACTTAAACTAATATTTCTGCTTTTCTCTGTTTTCAATTTTAAACGTGTTTTGGACTGATGCTCAGACGTAACCTTGGCTTTTGAAGAATGTCTTGTTATTCAGTCCAAAAGCCTGAGATATTCAGTTTAATATCATATCAAATGTAGAAAAGCAGGGAATCATCATATTTGAGAGGCTAAGAAACTGAAATAATGCTAAATCAATTATTTAAATAGTTGCCGGTTCTTTTTCTGCTGACGGAATAATCAAAGCAGGTCAAAAAGCAATAAGGTCTCAGAACATGAAAATGAAATGCCGTCTTGATTTTGATCATATGTTTTTTAGAGTCCATTAGTCACCTGGGCTGGCTGCTAAAAAGTACACGTAGTATGACCATGCATCAGAAGTTGATACATATCATTTTGGAACTAAAATCACTTCACAATGTTGACTTTTTTACGTTTCTGTCAACTAGCCTTTTTTCCGCGAAGACCAACGATTAGCCTGGATTAAAGCACTTTGCTTTATTGACAGAGCTATCAGGGAGGGGAGGAAGAAGAAAGTAGACGGACAGCTCCATTAGTCGACAGTCATTTTCAGTTAGTCAGCGGCCGTGTTGGTGATGGGAGAGGGGCTTGAGAATTTGGCCAGTGTTTCCCTTACATGCTCTCCCTTCTCTGGGGGTCCTGACCTCTCTGTAGCCCCCAGGCTCATCAACCACTGCCCAGCCAGTGTGGCTCCAAGCGGTCATATCAGAGCCAGGATTAATGCTTCTGGGGGAGGTGACCTTGTAAATCCTACAGCTGCCACCACTGGGCACCTTGGTCTGGATGGCAAGCTGAGACCCCGTTTCAGCCCAAAACGGTGGGAGATAAACCAAATAAATCAGACAGCCAATCCTAACTTCCTCACCCCTACGACGGACTACCTTTAACCTCTGACTTCACGCGTTAATGTGGTCAATGTGGGTCTATTTGCAGATGGCCAGTGTCAGTGGCAGGTAGACTATCACAGGAGGCAGACGTAACAAACTCGTGTTTACACAACAAAAGGTCCTTTACAGTGTGTGGCGACCTCCACTGACCTAACACACTCACTGTGACCTCCCTTAACTTCAGGGAGCACTGCATGTAATATTAGAGAGAGAGAGAGAGGAAGCGGTAAATATCACCAGATACTTTCATTCTTTTACGAATCAGTTTTACATTTGAGAACATTTACCAACTTTTCTGTAGGAGAAATGTGTCCCTAAAACCAACTTACGCAGTTTTCACAAATGTTCTGACATTTATAAATTATTTTCTGTAATATAGAATTTAGATTACAGTAATATTTGTTAAATTATAATATTCTCTAAGAATTGTATTAAATATTTTACACAGCATTGTGGTCTAATAGAAGAAATACACTTTCATTGACTCTCAAACACTTAAAGAGTAATGGCATCCCATGCATCTATTTTATGTTATTTCTTAACCACTATTAGCGCTACTAAATATGACGTGTCACATTCACTCCCTGCATTAGTTCATCCATTTTAGAGATATCTAAGTTTAATTATTTTCGAAGGTCGGTTTTAAAACCTTCATCAGGCTTGTATCCTGGCATTCTTGACTTAATTACCTCGTGTTTTCTTATTAATTAGTGCACACACTGCACTTTAGTTGTGAATAACCTGCTTAATTTACAAGGACAATGGGATTGATCATTATAAGGACACTGGTACAAACAAATCTACTGTTTAAGAACTTAATCTGACATATTTCTTAGGACCTTCTCAAGTAACTTAGCAACATATTGAATGAAGCACTTTGAACAGTGGCTGGTTCCAAACAAAGTGTCCATTTCTATCTTGTTCGGAACAAATACACAATTTAAAGTATGAACGCTGCATGGAGCTTTTGGTGACATTTGAGGAGTGACCTTGATGCCATAATGGCTCACCTGGGACTGCTCAATTTCTGCTTTGTTTAGCTTTACACCAAGAATCTCAGCAGCCACTCTCTGGAAACAAAGGAACACCTAGCAGGAGAGATAACAAAAAAATAGGACACGTTAGGTGTAATCAAAGTCACTCTGTACTTTAAATAGTGACTTATTGAATCAGCTGGTACTTACTGAATCCCCTGTCTTGGCGGATACGAACTGACTGATGAGGCTGTTCTCTTGGCAGAAACGCTGGTGTTTGTCAGCCTTCACGGTCCTCATGTGCTCCAGGTCGACTGTGGACGAAACACAGCGTGACACGTGAGAAAACGTACAAGATAGACAGATTTATGCGGTGGTTATACAGCACTCTTGCGGGGTTAACTGTCACGTATCTGAACATAAACAAAAAAGATAACTGTTTACACTTGAGTTAAGATGGAAGGGGATCTGCCTAGTGTTAAAGAATAAGCATGTATAACAAAGCATAATTCAATTGTTATGTTGCTTTCAAACCCGGCTGCTAGTTTAATATTTGTATTATGGAGGAGGTCATTTCAGGGAGTTTGAGAGTGGAAATGATCGTCTCTGTAGCCTTGAGCGTCCATTACCAAAAGCTGGATGTGACACATTCCTCGGTGTAAGCTTCGTACAGTTGAACCCCGAAGCCATGAACCTCTATTTGACCCGAAACAGACAAACCAGCCCAGCTGTGGAGAAATGCTTAAGACACAATACGTTGATGACCAAAGTCTTCAGGCTACTCTCACAGTGAGAGCGTGGATGGAGAAATCAGACTGACTTATGGGTGCGTCTGCCTTTAAGGTTGGCAAACAGGCCCTAGAACTGGGACTGTCACCTTCATGCTGATTTACTGTGAGCTCACAATGACACGCCTTCCTCTTTAGCCATTGTGATGTGCATTTGACTCCTGTGCAGTGATACCGGGCACTTTGCTTCTCTCCTTCCTCACTATGGGGTCATGCTGGGGTCGATGAGGAAGGTCACCTGGGGGTCTTGCAGCTGAAAGCAGTAGCTTGGCTCTTTATTTCTGGCTTTGTGCGGAAAGGCTGCCACGCCCGGTATCTGGTGTGTACGTGTCTATGGTAGCTGGAGGAGGTCAGGCTACTGTACGGTGTAGCGTTTCTCTCGTCCCCCCCGAGTTTTATTCTTTGTGTGAGGTTTCATTGAAGTTGTCAAAGATTTACGCCGTTCTCATGCCGCTGTGTGTGTGGGCGTGCGTGCGTGCGTGCGTGCGGGCGGGCGTGCGTGCGTGCGTGCGGGCGTGCGTGCGTGCGTGCGGGCGTGCGTGCGGGCGGGATATAACCAGAAGCAGAGCAAGAGAGAGACAGATACATACAATTGTAAACAGTGAACTAATCCTGAGTTATTAATAACTCAGTAAGTCATATGACCCAGAAAAGTTAAAGGCCAATCCACAACGACCACAAAAAATACATTTGGAAAGAATCATTTTAGACTCAAACGAATATTACCATCATCATGTCGTCATAAGTGACATATAAACACAAACCTTTCTGGGCAGGGTTAGACACTTTTACCACTACTCAGTGTCCAGGGCAGACTGTCATGTCTCGGCCTGTACATAAACAGAGCTGTCTCATAGGCGTCAGCAGGTTATTAATTCCAGTCATTAACAGTGGAGGTACCCAGCATGCTACTAGAAGTAAACACTGCTAATCCTTTGGATCCTGCACACTTGGGAAAGGTTATCAATCATGTGTGACAGTCAGATTAGCCAACATTAACATGGTGGCTCAGGGGCTGAGGAAGGCACGTTACTGTTAGTCAAAAAGGTGTAGTGAGGTTTCTGATTCCTGCCTGTGGGAATGTGCGCCAAGGGGAGGGGAAATGAAGAAGTAGGCAAGAAAAAAGGAATAACTTCAACAGAACTAGAAGAGGCCTTATTTCTTAAGTACATCGCAGGTGGAAAACCCTTAGAAGTTAATAATATCAATGTAATTTGTATAGCATTTGAAGCATTAATGATTTTTAGGTGTTGCAATGTAGTCGCTAAAAGGCATTTGACATTGAGGTCAGTGTCAATTGAAGTGTAAACTATGAGTGCATTTTAGTTTCAGTTCAATAAGTTCAGTTAAAGTTGCAGCAAAGATAGTTTAAGTGTGTGCTGTGTAAATAATTGTCATTTGTTATGTAAGCAGTGACATCAGCGGGGATATGAGTTGAAGTATTCAAACTGTTAGTTGAAAAGTAAGAAATGAAGTGTGAGCTGATGTGTAGCAGCTGCAGATTTGAGTCTCTGGGCATGTTGTCATTGAATTGTAGATGTTCAGATTTCTATTTTAAGAACTCAGGGAAAATGTCAAGATCAGATGATACAGAGAAAGCCAGAGAAAAATCTACAAAATGTCCCCGATATGCATAAAATGACAGACCTATTTTTGTTTTTTGTTGAGTCCATGATTTGTGAACAACTACTCCTTTCATGTTCTCACACAAAAGATTGTTCAGCATGTGGTCTTTGTAAACTGAAGACTAATCCCACAGTTTTAGTCTTTTGCTCAATTTTTCTCCCTAATGTACCCATTTCTACTTATCAGGTCAAGACAATCTTCCTCCGATGATCTGGTTTCCCTCTGTTTCTGTCAAACTGTACATCAGCTTAACAACCCCGAGGAAGTGACTGCAAACACGAAATAAACTGTTTAGTCCTCCGAGCACATAGAGATAGTGGAGAGGATCATCACTCGCCAAGAGCGATGGCCCTCCCTCGCTCTGGTCACCGTTGGTGTTTATTTAAAAGGTCTGCCTGTCATTGCGGTGAATTACAAGACAACAGTTGGAGATTAATATCTGGCGGACAAATTGGGCTTTTACCGTAAATATCTGATTTGTTATTGTGGTGATCCATTACAGAGAAGGAAACACAACCAAATGAGAGCAAACTATGAAGGCTCCTCTCCACATGTTAGTGTCTGTGGCGATGTCAGCTGAGCTCCTTCATGGAAAGACTCTGCTCAGTGGCAGACCTGATTATCCTGACAGCACACAGACTTGGAGTCACTAAAAACTTGGAATTAGTAATAAGGTTTTATTTTTGGTTTGATGGATCTGGCCAGAAAATGCTCTCAAACCAACGCTGTTGCGATATCACCTTCCCTTAAATAATAGAAACATCTGCCAAAACTGACTTTAAAATAACTGAAGAGGCATTGTTACTTAAGCTTAGTCCTCTGGTATTTGGAAAACAAACCTTGTCAAGAGATATCTGCCAAAAATCTTTGAATATTGTACAACGTCTATAAATAATGTCTTATTCCTTTCCCAGTAAGTCATGAAAGCCAAACTTCAACCCAGTGAATAACATGAATCCCTCGTGAAAAAGATGCCTACCTATTGTAACGAAAAAGGTTGGTAAAGCAGCTGTTATTACTAAAAGCCTTTTGAAACACTCCCGACCTGTATCATTAATTTAGCTAAACTGCCACTGTGGCAGCAGGTGATAATTGCTGGATAATGCTAATATAGGCCACCTTAACTTAATGTTATTGTTTTTTTAAATACAACTTTTAATTTGAAGATCTGAGATATTTCTTCTTACAAAACATCCACACTCTTGCTTTAAATGTGAAAATTCACACCAGAACCAAAGTCAACTGGCACAAACTTTGCACACATACATTTCCAGACACTCTATTGTTATTCTCATTGACACATTAAGAGGGCCAAATGTGGACGATGTGAGAATTCAGAAATGACTATTTCTTTTACAGTTCACCAACACATGTTGCCAAGGCAAAACAATACGCTAATAGCTCTACGTTGGCCAACCAGCCTGGAAACCCAACACCGCACTGTGTGATCCTCAGTGGGCTTTTTAAAACCATGCTGTGATAACAGAGACACCTACTTACTGTTCTGCCGAGTCGGCTGCTGGGGACCAATTGAAGCAGTTTACCCAGCGCGCAACAGCCAGAGAATAAGCTTGACATAACACAGTTAATTGCCGGCAGCCTCGTTTTAAACTAAACAGCAGTGGGTGCAGTGGGGAGTTTGAGGGCTGAGGGTGGAATGTGTGAACTACATGTGTGTCTATGTGTCTGTGTGTCTGTGTGTGGTGGGTGTGTGTGTTGTCAGAAACGTGGGGCTCTGAGGGGTCATATCACATTAAATGAAAGTTACAGGGTTGAGCCTAATCAACCCCAGGGGAGAACCTATCACTTCCAACATTACCTCACACTATGTCTTTAAGACCCTGTTAAGAGGGTTTGCCTCAGTTTCCCCTCAATGACGACCATGAAACAATTCAGACTGTTTGGTGAGGACAAGGATTATCAAACCATGTCCAACCCATAATGAATTGACTTACAACTGTCTTAACAAATGTTTTCACTTGGCAAGTATCAATACATTTTTCTGCAACAGTAATACAGTAGTCTACAAATTCAATTCAAATTGAGGAGTTTGATATCTCTGACTTATGACTACTCTATGCTGATTTTAGTCTTCGTACTGTAAATGCATTGTGCTCTGTTTTATGCTTTCTTGGTCAACTCTGTCTTGCAAAAGAAACCAAGTGGGAAATGATTCATTATTAGACTTTCACAATCTATCATAATTTGATATTAAACTGCAGGAGGCTGAAAAAGCAGCTGAAACATTTTCCCTCCATATGTTATAGTTTCACTGGTTAGTTGAATTGCATGTGACATTTTATTTACTTTTAAATGTTCTGGTACAAGATACGGGGAAACCTTTACTACCTTAAAAGTCAGTAGAAATTATAATGAATCATTCTTGGTGATGTCTGATTGAATAAGACATTGATTTAACTTTCACAACACCAGTGGCTAATAAAAAAAACGACTAGTAGAATTTATATGAAGCATTTAAATGATTGGGTCCAACTGGTTTACATGACTTGGTGAGAGCTCATAAAAAGTATTTTGAAATATGAAGGGCGGGATAGGTCGGTACGGGTCTTATAAATATGGACACCATAATTGTGTAAACAATATTAATTATCCTCCTTCAAAAAAGTGCTGGCTACAGTATTATACAGAATCGTCCCAGAAATAGTTTTGCATTAGATCTGAACAGTGTGCATTTTGTTTACAGTAGTTGATTTTCAGAGGGAATGGAACATCTAAATTGAAAATCATTTTTATGTAACTGTTATATATAACTGTAAGTCTTAATTATTTTTGTATTCAATAATAATTTCTGCATTAGTACAATTGCATAATATGTCATCAATGTGTGGCCCATTCTATACTGACTTTGGACATTGTATAACTAGATGTGTGTGAATATA